TTTATGTATCTATATCTGTATCTGTTTAATCTATTTATCTATCTATCTATTTCTATATTTATTATTCTCTTATTTACTCGGTCGATTAGTGGTATGCTTGCTTGCTTGCTTGCTTGCTTGCTTGCTTTTTCTCAGTTTCGTTTCATTTTATTCTTTACTTATCTTTCTCGCTTACACACTTACGTTGGATACGAATACGACACGTGGCTCTGCTTTTTTTTTTATCCTATTTCATTTTTTTATTCATTTGTTTTTTTTCTTTCTTTCTATCTTTCCGTTTTATACATTCTTATTTTATCTATTGATTTTCGATGACTTATAGAGTACACGTGTTGTGTTTTATAATTTTATTCTTTTTAATTGAATTATAATAAAATTGTATATAATCATTTCTCGCGCATAAATCTCTGGAATATTATTTTATATTATCAAAAATTTAAATAATCGTTATACCTATGGTCAAATACAATGAAAAATATTCAATTAATAAAACATTCTTAAATTCTAAAAAAAAGTATTCAACACCAAAAAACTTATTATCCAAATCACAATTATAAAATCAAACAAAAGAAATCGATAACCTCGTAATAGAAAATCTCATATTGAAAACATGAAACCGGTCGGGATTTACGTCACGTGTTAATAACGTTAATAAGTTAAGCAAATATTGTAACTAATAATAAAAATGTCTTGAAAACTTCAAACAACTACTAATCGAAATCAAAAAAAAAAAACCACCACCAACCACACGATTGTTTATTGGAAACAAATGGAAAGAAAAGAGAGAAAAAGTGATTTACTAAGAGTGGGTGGTGGGGTGGGGTGGCGGGGGTGGCGATGGAAATAACTATAAGTACAATGAACTTGTTTTCTAAGAACCTTTTCATCAAATTCTAAGTTAATTGTAAAATAACGACTTTTACGGGGAATTAGTAATCGTAAAAATTTCAATTGAAATAACTTGCTACACCTCCTCTTCCTCTTCCTATTCCTCCTCCTCCTCCTCCTCCTCCTCCACCTCCTCCTCATCCTTAGTCATCTCTTATACAGTCGAAGCCATTTTATCACGTAGCACGTGTTGGAATGTTATCGCGGATTTCATTACACGTAAGTACTTTTCGAACGATAACATCACCGAGTTTCCGCTAATTACGTTGTTTACCAGAAAGTAGTCATTAAGATTAAACAACGTTTCTATAATATGCTTGTATACATATAAATATGTTAAGTACAGATTTGAACTAAGAATTTGTGTAGAAAAGATAGAAGAACAAAAAAAAAGGAACAGAAAAAATGGAAGGAAAAAATAGTCACACACATACACGTATACGTACAAGGAGAGAGAAACATATACACGAACGCGTACATACATACGTAAGTTATAAGTTCGATTTAACATATGTATATCAAACACATTCGTAATTACTTTTCCAGTAATCGATAGAGAATTCGTTGACTGGTTACGTTATTGCGACGTTTCCATATTTTAACAGGTTAATCGAACGAAATAATTTCATGCAACCCATTATACTACACAACTTTTCTGATCGTTTATATATATATATATATGTATATAAATTAAATTTATTCTAAAGAATTTCGTGCATTTATATGTATGTGTGTTTCTATCAGACCTGTTTAATATCAAAATTCATATGTTACATACGTATATTCCCGGTAATGAATTATCCACCAATTTTCCTATTTACCAAAACTAATTGATCAAATCGATTCAAGTATTGTTTTATTTAAAAGTCGTTTTGCAATTCATATCAATATACCGAGGTCCGTCTATATTTTAATTATGATCGATGAGGAATCGAATTATACGTCGCACAATAATAATTTTACAAATTATTTTATATTGTGTCACATTCGTAGAAATTTTCCCCAAATGAAATTTAACTATTAAAAATAATGCGTTAGATTATTTTAAATATACTTTAGGAAATAATAAAGGAAACTTTGTTACGTAAATTCAAAATAAAGCTCAGAATTGGAATGTCGAACGTTAATCCTGTCATCTGCCGGAGGGTTGTAGAATTAATTGGAAAGAAAGCTATTACTGAGAAACATGAATCAAAGTAGGAACTTTCATGTTCGTGTTAAAACAAGAAAGCTGTTGCCCTCTGGCTGTGCTTTTACCGACCAACAGTGAAAAAGCTTTTTTCCGGTACGATAAACCCTACTACGATTTTAAGCTTCCTTTGTGAAAATACATTATTCAAATAATAGAACATCGTCTTTGGATAAAGCTGCGTTCTCTCGAGAAACAAATGTTCCTTGCATGTACGTATGAATCAAGAAAAAAAACAAAAGAGAAAGGATACTTCGTGTATCGAATTGAAAAAAGCTCTATTTCGATCGTTCTATCGATCGAATAAAACAAATCAAATGTTTATTCGTTTTAGTTTAATTATAAAACATTTCATTTTCTATTCAAATGATTTATTTATATATAAGAAATAATTATTCGTAATCGTAATATTGTTTAGTCGAAAATAGGTTATGAAATGAATTACTAGGGACAAGTGGCTCCCTCTGGAAAAAATATATATATATTTGTGAACTATAAGTAACATTCTCGTTATTTGGGAAAGATTTTCACACGAGTTTGTTCAAAATATTATTCTTATTTGTTCATATATATATAAATAATAAAATAAAATATCAAATAATAGGACGAAAATTGATCTTTGAAAATTTGACAAATTCATAAAAAATTTTGAAAAATTATTTTAATGCTTGGAAAAATACTTAAAAAGAAAAAAAAAAGAAATCCATAAAACTTTCAGACATTCCTCGGATCAAAATCGGACCAAATCAAAAAAAAAAAGAAACAATCGTCTTTATTCCACGAAGTAGTTTTTCTAACGCGTCGATAAAGGTTGATCCGAAATGTAACGAAAAAAAAAAATATCGTAAAGAAAAAAAGAATCAACATGAAAGATAATACCAAGATATATTCGAAATCCCTCTAAAGGATTTCAACCTTCAATTCTCTGAAAAGATTTTCACTTAGTCTTTAGATTTCCCTGTCCATTAATTTTGTTTTTTCTCTCCAAGTAAGATCCTCTTCAAATAAACATGTAAATGGCACCTGTAGGAAACTGTAAATGAAAAAAAAAGAAAAGAGATATTCGAATACAACTTCAGGTAAACATTCCTAAACAACAATGGTTCCTTTGTACAATAGATCTAATCCAGGCGAGTAAAAGAACAAAAATTTATTGCTCGTAGTTGAAAAGTATACAATTTTTATAGATGGTCGGTTACGGTCAACAGACCCATTTCCTTTCTTATCTCCCAAATATTTCGACGTAGTTTCTTTGAATTTTTAGAAACTAAATCGAACGTCGTACACTTAACATAACCGAATACAATACAAAAATATCATTCAAAATATTCGTTTAATCTCGTACAAGCGATAAGACATGTTCATAAATATTTTTAATATATTTTCGTATCATTCGTTAATGGTCAATTTGAAATAATACAATTTTCAGTATAAATTCCTGTTCATTTAGGAAAAGATCAAAAGTAAGTGGTAGAGGGTGCAGCATGAATTTGAGCATAGAAAAAACCATTGTACTTAATCTTACTTCGTCTTAAAAATTCTCTAAACAAATATTTTTCTAAATAAACACAGTTGTGATCAAAAATGTGTGGCCAATTAAAAGGCGTATAATAAATTAAACAAAGACTCAAAATTATGATCGAATCAATAAATATCTTCCATCGTCTTAACGCACAGTTAATCTCATCAATATTTCTAATTTAATATTAAATAATAGAGTTCAATAAAAAAAAAAAAATAATATCGTCAAAGATATATTGCGCGTAGGAGTGGTGGTAGTGGGTGGGGGGTTGGGGGTTGAGAAGAGGAACGTGACCTGAACTTTCACTTTTACACCTTTTATTTCTTTACCAAGTTTATTATATTTTCAACGATTAACGATTACCTACAACATCATCATACGTAATTCTGAATCAAAATAAATATGAATAACGTTGAAAAATAAGGGTAGTGAAAATAACACGTTGAAATCATTTTCATAGTATCATCGGGAATCTGAAACTTAAAACTCGAAACTCTTTATATTTCATTCTAATTCAATCAGATTCTCTGACTCTCTCTCTCTCTCTCATACACATTTATACCCGTCTTATTCACAAGCAAAGAGAATAGTGTGTACCATACAACAAAGTTGTGTAGCGTGACGAGAATGAGAGAGAGAGAGAGAGAGAAGATACAAGAGTGGGGGGGGTTGGTTTAACGCGTATGCCGAAGTAAACGAACAAATAGGAGAGAGAGAGAATGATAGAAGGGGGGTTAGGAGGGGATAGGTATAGTAATCGTAAGAGAGGACAGTGGAGGAGAGTGGAGTAAAAAGGTAAGGGTGGGGGGAGGAGGGGGAGTAGTAGGAGTAGGGGTGTAGACTGCGAGTAGGAAGAGTAGAGCAATAGCAAGTATAAAGTTTAGAGTGGGGGTAGTAAAATGGTAGGGTAGAGTGGGAGGTATACATATATATATACATATATATATGTATATAGATATATATAGAAGAGAAGTGCAATAGGTGTGAGAGAGAGAAAAGGATAGTTAAGTGATGAGGAGGGGCAGCAGGAGCGGAGGGAACCGGGAGGGTGACGTAGACGGGGACGGGGGAAAGATCCCACCGAAAGCACAGAGAGCGCCCCATAATTTCGTGTGCCGCATCGCAGTGAAGTTCGCGTTCAATGTTCGATGTTCTTTCGAATCGGGATAGTTTGTGATACATGTGAACAGAGTAAAGGAACCGCTAAGTAGTAGTAGTAAACGAGGAATTAGAAGAAGGAGGACACAATTAGTGCATTTACTTAATCTAATTCTATCAATATCCGAAATTTTTTTTTTTTATTTCTCTCGTACGTATTTATAAATATACACATATTTATACATATATATATATATATAGAACAAATTGTATGACAAATCAATTTAATTTGTAATTTATATTCTCGATCGTAAATAATATTTGAAAATTATTTTGTCAAGATAAAAGAAAAAAGAAAAGAAAACAATGGGTCGGGTGGGGAGACAAATTTGAATAATAACAATAATAATAATAAATTCGGTTAAATGTTAGAACTGAATTAGATTGATAGGGAAGGGTAGAGAGGGATTTAAACAAAACAAAAAAATAAATAAAAAGAGAAAAAGCATAGACACCGATTGTGAGAAAGTAGTTGGTTGGTTGGTTGGTTGGTTGAGTGCGCGCGCTTGCCGCGTCCCGTCGTCGGGTAAAAGCCAGGTTCGTTCGGTTGGTTCCGTTCAGTACATGCCGGTACTTCATGTCGAACGTGTTAACTGCAGCCCGTAGTTTGCTGTCCGTTACCGATTGGTTGGTTGATTAATCGATCGGTTAGTTGGTTTAATCGTTTATGGTTTTCTAGTTTCATTCGTTAATGGGTTTTTTTTTTTTTTTCCATTTTAATCGGTTCGTATATATATATATGTATATATGTATATATATATGTATATATATATATATATTGTCATCATTGTAGTCAGTTTTTAACATCAGTCATCAATTAAACTTCCTCGATCATCATTTTTTAGATGATACTACGAAATATCAAGGGATATTCATTTGCAATTACCGGTGATCCATGTGCATTTCAAGGACGTTAGCAGCGTCACTACGTTATAGTAGTTTCTGACGAAGGCAAATAACACGGAAGAAAGAAAGAAAGAAAGAAAGAAAGAAAGAAAGAAATAAGAAGAAGGAATAATAAAACGGTGATAAAGAAAGGAAGAAAGGAAGGAAAGAAGACAAAAATTGAATCGAATAAAATGATCATTGAGTGTACGAAATATTCAACGTTCACGTCATCGTCACCGACAGCGTACAATTTTCCTTCTAAATTCAGAACAGTTTGATAAAGAATAGTGTGGAAAATTAACGACAATTAATAATATATATAAAAAATTAAAAAAAAATTAAAAACGAACGACAACACTGAACAAACGGGGCTTGGACAAATCTCAGAGAGTGTTATTAATTCCGTTGGAAAAAAAACTTCTAACAACAGCTCACCCCCCCCCCCCTCCAACGTTCTTGCTTCTACTTCTACTTGTTCTTCTACTTCTCTACTCCATTAGAAGAAAAGTTAGTGGAATATATTTTCAAAATCAATTATTAGTGTGATTATAATTATTATTACTACTACTACTACTACTAGTATTACTGCTACTACTACTATTGCTACTGTAACTGCTACTATTCATCCACATTTAAAGATGAATATGGTCTTAGCGTTTATATGTTTATGCGTAATAACAGTATTGGCGTTGCTGCAGATCTTGGTTTTGTATAATATCATTACATTGAGGAACTATTTGTTTGTGTGCAACAACCGAAGTTGCAGGGTTCATCGTCGACGACCATTCAGATACTTCTACTTCTTCTAAATACGAATCATCGTCAATATTCACGTAAATATACAACACACATTACTTTTTTGTTGTCTTTTATTTTAAATTATTTTTTTTTTTCTTTTTCTTAACATCACACGTGGTTATTAAAAACAAACACGCACGCACACACACGTATATACTTATATATATAGTATAATCTAAATGAAAAGTGCATCCTACATGCATGCATGCATGCATTCTTATTTTCCATCTTTTCTTTTATTTTCTCATTTTTCTAGAAAATATTTAATATAAGCTTGTAATGCAGGTAACGTTTGGCATGAGTATATATGAATCCCTCTGAAACCCCCCTCCCACCCCTTTAAACGCATATAGACACACACATATATATACAAATATATATATAGGTAAATACATAGATATATGGATACATACATACATACATACATACATACGTACAGATATATATATATATATATTTCTACGCTGCTCTGATTATTAACGAGTTATTACCGCGATACTAATTAAGTTTAATCGCAAGGCCGCCCGTTCGTTAAAGTTAATTGCAGTATCGACCACGGCCCACGTCGTTAATTGCGCCGTCCTGTTCGTTGCTGCTAGAACGACGCGCGCTTTTATGGAAGTTTGCCGATCCGATCGCAAATACTCTATAAAGGCAAATACTTCTATCTCATTCTAACACTTTTTCCATAAAACGAAACCGGTACATCTATATTATATTACTATACAAATATAATATTATATCATTATCATTGTCATTCTCTTTTTTTTTTTTTTGTTGCCTATTTACGAAACAATTGGTATGAAATAATTTTAATTTCAGTTTTATTCTTTTTATGTTGCACATATTTTTCTCTCTTTTTTTTTTTACCATTTGAATTATAAATATTAACGTATAAGATTAATTACTTTTCCATAGACAAATATTACCGATGCCATTTATATATATATATATATATATATATATTATTAAAAAGGTTTTTGTGTTTTTTTCTATTCACGAAACGATCAGTAAAATAATTGCAACTTTAGTTTTTGTTTATTGCACACGTGTTTCTGTTTTTTTTTTTTTTTATTACCATTTGAATTATAGGTTAACGTAAAACGAGATAATATTTCATAGACGAACCCCCCTCCTCCTCCTTCTTAATAAATATATTACATTATGTTATAATATAATTTTGTTTCTATTTGTGCGATACAACTATAGTGATCTAACTGCAACTACAGTTTTGTTATTTTATTGCACACTTTTGTTTGTAAATTTTTTTTTTTTTTAGATTTGAATTACGATCGGTTAAACTTAAGACAAGTTCGATTACTGATTTTTAATCTTCAGGCTAATCCTCTTCTTCTTCTTCTTCTTCTTCTTCTTATTCTTCTTCTTCTTCTTCTTCTTCTTATTCTAACGGCATCTCCTTATTTTTCTTATTCTTTTTTAGATCTTAACTATAATAATAGTCATTTCAAAGTTGCAGCTGCACGCTCACATTAGTCCCTTGCAACCGGTCACGATCCAATGCTTTGTTGTTACCGTATATATAACTTCAATGTGTATGTATATCTATCTATATATATACTGGGTACATTTAATACCAAAAGACAGGATTTATGGGTACATCTATTGGGTTATACCCAAAAGTCCCTATCGATTTCTATTTTAAATTTGACCGAAACAAATTTTACTTCAACTTCTTCTAATCTTCACGAACTTCTTTTCCATCTTGATCACACAATTGAACCTAAAATAAAACATTCGATTTAGAACAAAATGAAAAAAAAAAAACATATATCATACGACAAGTATTTTAATTTAATTGAAAGAGATTTTCCAACAAAGAAAAAAACCCTATTCAATATTATTTTTTCTTGTAATTAAAATACATCAATCGCGCTTACTTAACCTTAAAATTTAGTTTTCATTTGTTTTTTTTTTTTTTTTCTGCGCGTATGCGTGTGCGTGTTAAAAAATAATGTTGTAATTGATGAATTAAAAAACAAATTGTTAAATATCTTTCGTTTATACGAAAAATCTTGTTCTTTTTTTTTTTTTTTTTTTTTTTTTTTTCTATTCTTTTATTTTCGTTTCTTTTCTTATTAGTCAGTTAGTCGTATTCGATCAAGAAAGTTTGTAGACAGTTTCAGTAGCCATTACGAGAAGCACGCATATTCGTACTCTGCGTGCGTCGAGCGTGATCAATAAATCGGCCTGTGCAGTACTAACACATAGTAATGGTCTTTTAGTATACATATACGCGCGTAGTTTGCTTCATACTTTTGTGTAAGAGTCAGAATATATATTTCTATGTATGTGTGTATATATATATATTTGAGTGACTAAACGCCAATCTAAAAACGGAAGAACATCGAACTTTTTTATGTGCAACGAACTTTGAGAAAAAATTGTGTCTGAATGATAGAATCTAAATTAATAAATAAATAAATAAATAAATAAATCGAATATAAATTATATTACAAAGTATAGAAATTAATTTTTAATTCGCACGATCTTGAGTATAATTTTTTATGTTTCTTTTTTTCTTTTTAATACGTATTTTCTGTGTCACGTACGATATTATTAAATTTGTTTTTATCTTCTCTCTCTCTCTCTCTCTCTCTCTCTCTCTCACGTTTTATTTCTAATCAATAATTGCTTCGTTTCAATTAAACGTTTATTAATGCGACTCAAATTGTCTTCTTTTTCCATTACTTCATTATCATTCTTTTATTATTTTTTCCTTATTCAATTTCTATAAACTTATATATATATATATATTTTATTGAAATGTTTTCATATCTAAATTTATCCTAAAAATGTAAACAATTTTTTTTTACCGATTTATCGAACATTTCAATTTCTAATCGTTATATTAACATTTAAGAAACATCGATATAAAATATAATAATTGTACTATTAACGAGAAAGTATCGTAAAAAAAAAAGAAAAAATCTTCCAATCGTTAAATTTTATTATTTCGAGGTGTAAAGAAATATCATTTTTTTTTTTTATCCGGATATTAAATTTCTCAATGAGTTACATCGTACGTGAACATCTTTTATAGAAATAAATTAGAAGAAAATATATATATATATACATCTGTATGTGTGTGTGTGTGTATTTATCCGTTAGAAGTAACAGTTAAACAACATAACACAATTATACACCGCCTTCACTTTCTCCTACTCCAAACTCTCGTATTGGCTATCGTTTAGTGAGAGCTTCCCGTCGACTTTTTGATAAATTCGATATGAAACTTCCTGAATATTAGACAGAGAAAGAATTAATGAGAGAGGAATAGTAGAAGGATGAGAGAAAGAGTGATAGAAACATTTATGACATTAATGTAATGCACACGTGTATTATACGCAGACGTTTAATAATACGTTTTACGTGACGTATCAGACTGATTGATTTAATAATCTTCCTATATGCATATATTCTCGCTCATTCATTGCCGATTATAATTTTACGATGAATAAATAAGATTTGTAAAATAATATAAAACCACATAATATATGTTATAATATATTATTTAATATTTATATACAACAACATTCTATGGGATCATGTTTTTTATTGATTGATTGATTATTTCTTTCTTTTTTTTTTTTTTTTATTAAACATTATCAAACGCGTGTTACTTTTATAAATTATAATAATATATGTTCTATATATATTAGATTTTATCGTAAAGTTATTTTGTATATCTAAATAAAAATATATATATATATGTGTGTGTGATCACATATGACGAGAAACGTGTTAATCGTTTCTTCATATATATATATATATTTATATATGTACGTATTGCGTTAACACGATGTGAATATTTGAAATATTTATTTCATTAATAAGGTAAAATTTCATCATTTTTCTTTGTATTGATTTAATAAGATATACATTTTTGTTAATTATTATTATTATTATTGTCAGAAAAAAAAAATGTTTCTTCATTATTTTCTCTCTCTCTCTCTCTCTCTCTCTCTCTCTCTCTCTCTCTCTCTCTCTCTTTATACATATATGTAAGAATATTATTTGTATTTATCTGTGTAGGTGAATATTTATTAACAGGAAATTCGTGTTTAATTATAGAAAAGCCGTTCTACGTAATAGTCGATAGTAACGTCGTTAAACGTAGTTTAAAACTCAGCATTTACAACTTCGAAATTATATAAATATGTATGTATGTATACGTATGCATACCATATACATATATATATATATATTACTATCATTTGAGTTTCACGATAAACTCGCATCGATATAAGATTACTTTCCCATATTATTTTTTTTTTTTTTTATTTCTTTTCTTTTCTTTTTTTTCCTTTTTTCTTTACTTCTACTTTTTCCTCTTCTTCTTCTTCTTCTTCTTCCTCTTTTTTCTTATTCTTTTATTTATTTTTATCTTGATGCATATAAACATATTTCCATTTTAAATGACGATGTCTCTTAGGTCGTTAAACCCAACACATAAACATACATACTTCACACACACACACACAATCATACATATTTGCTATTTACTTCTCTCTACTTCGTTATCACCAAGTTTATAAGAAGAAATAGGGAAAAACTTTGCACGGATTATTTTAATCATTACTTTACATGATTTATATATATGTATATGTATATGCTACTATTTTTTTATATAGTACAACATAGAATGAATCGTATTCATGGTAAACGTGTCATACTTCGAGAATAATGATTTGTTTATCTTTTTTCTTGTTTAAACAATTATATAATTGAATTCAAATCAATTCAGAAATTCAAGTTAATGAAAAATTTAGGGGATAAACTAGTGCCCCCATTTATTTTTGTCCAAGAAATGATTTGAATTAATCCGAAACATGATTAATCATAAAATTTAAACGCAACATTCTCTCGTAACCAAAATTTTTACTCGACTTACTTTTAAATGAATTCAAATCATAATTCACACGATCGATATATTTTTTTTTAAATGTACACCGTATAAGGAATGATTATTTTGTTTATGAACAACTATGTACCTTTTGTGCGGTCAATATTGGAA